TGTGGGAGCATCCTTGCTAGGCCGGCTGTAAGTATGTGGTTTGAGCCATGAGCTGCCCGGTTGGGTGATACTCTCGCCACACCATTGAAAGCCAGCTGTGGGAGCAATGATCAATGAGCAGCGGATACTTAATGGCATTATCGCAAGTCTTTGAAGCTAAGCATTTGAAACAGCCGGCCTCCGTGTGTCAGCACAAGCGTGGCTTCAAGCGTCGCTTCGAAGCAAATAGATTGGTCGTATGTATGGCCGTATGTATATGGGTCACTGCAACCTCATGAAATGCCATGAGTAATGACCGAGTGTGGGGCTGGACGCCTTTCTGCGCTGGTAGAGTTTGAAGTCTTTCCTCATGTATAAATGTTGCCTGCACAAGTGTCGCAGGTGTTGCACCATTGCAACTGCCTGTGGTTGCATACTCTACAACGTCATGATCAGCTCTGGTCGCGCATATTTTACTCCATTAAAGCCGACTGTATGTATATGGGTTGAAGCATAGCTCAATTGGGTTAAGGCATTGCCGCCTAAATCAACTGATGTGCAATGTGCAAGCAGCAAAATTTAAACAATCCGTCTGCTCCAGCAGGAGGAGGCGTCCGGCAATGCCCATTTGGGTGAATTCGTCGCAGAGAGCATCTCCCATTTGGGTGGTACATTGCTCTATGATCAAGCGAAGGCCAATGGCCGGATGATCAAATTGAGGCCAATGGCCGGAATGATCAAGCGAAGGCCAATGGCCGGATGATCAAATTGAGGCCAATGGCCGGAATGATCAATCGAAGGCCAATGGCCGGAATGATCAATAGAAGGCCAATGGCCGGATGATCAAATTGAGGCCAATGGCCGGAATGATCAATCGAAGGCCAATGGCCGGAATGATCAATCGAAGGCCAATGGCCGGATGATCAAATTGAGGCCAATGGCTAGATAATATTGCGCGCTAACTCCCGCTTGATGGTCGACAGTCCACCTGATCTGTTGCTATTAGCATAGAGGGGCTAAAAGCAATAAGAGTCGACATTTGTCTAGTTCAGCGACAATCATTATTATGATTTGATTAACTTGGAAAATGTCATACCGTTCCAAGTATCAAATTTTCCAAGTCAATCAAATTCCTCCCTAATTGAACTAGACAAATACCGACCAAAGAGGCTCAAGGGGTCTCCTATTCGGAAGGAACAATCTCTCTTAAAAGAGAGATTACTCCTTCCGAGGGGCTAATGTTTGGGGGTAAAAGTACCCTTGACAAATGGACCAAATGCTAATGCAGCACGTGTCCCAATGGCCTGCTGACACGTGTCAGCCTCAGAGAGGCCCAGGGGGATCCAACCCTCTCCTGACACGTGTCACCTGAACCCTAGAAGGGGAGCTGATCCCCTTCACTATAAATAGAGGAACCATCCTCATTTATGGGGGATTCATTATTGAATACACATTCAATCCACACAAAAACCGAGCAATATTCATTGCAGAATTCTCTCTGAATCAGAGAGAAGTATTTACATTCCGCACTATACTCCTCATACGCGTTCTAACTTAATCGTCGGAGGCGGAACTCCCACCCCTGGGAGTCTCCGTGGTTTTGCAGGTACAGGCAACCGGAGGTCAGTCTCGGTGTTGTAACTTTCCAGCAAGACACATCAAAAAACCCCAAAAACACTGCTTCTTATGGATTTTTGTGATAAATCCGGCCAAATGATTAACTTGCAGAAGTCCTTTGTCAAGTTCAGTCCTAATACCCCTTTGGATTATAAGGAATTCTTGTCCAGGAGTTTACAACTTCAATGAAAGGATTCCCTTGGTAATTACTTGGGAACTCTTGTTGATTTGGGTCGCGATAAGGTTTTCGAGTTCAGTTTCTTATTGAAAAGTTCTCTCATCGGTTGTCGAAATTTACTTCTGTGGGACTATCTGCTGCAGCTAAATTGGTGATCATTAATTCTGTGTTGGTGACTTCTTTTAATCACATCTTATCAGTTTTCCATGTTCCTTCTATGGTCACCAAACGTATCGATCACATGTTGGCTCTCTTTTGGTGGATTGGAAGTCTTCACCTTCAGCTCGAGGTTCGGCTTTCTGGTCTACGTCCTTATTGCACCTTCCTAAAGGTCTGGGTGGTTTGGGTATTCATAGTTTCGAGCATTTCAATATAGCTTTGCTTGCTCGCCAATGTTAGAGACTCCGATGTAATCCTCAGCTTTTGGCTTCCAGGGTCTTGTTTGCGAAGTATCCCTTGCTTAATTCTCTAAGTCCAGGAAGAATTTTGCGCTCTTCTTGGGGATGCCGCAGTTTGTCGGCTGGTATGTCTACTCTAGCTTATGGTTTAGCTTGGAAGGTAGGCAACGGCTCACAAGTTCGTCTAATCGATGATGTTTGGGCTCCTGGGGGCCTGTGCAGTTCAAAAGTGGTTTGGTTAAGTCAAATCTTCCGACTCATTTTTCTTCCATTATCAATCCGCGTACTTACGCGTGGGATCCTACGTTAGTCCATCGGTTCTTCGATAATTCTACAGATCTCCATATTTTCTCTGTGAATCGTCCTCTTCTGCCGATGGATGACTTTGTTTACTGGAAGCATACTCGAGATGGTATGTTTTCCACAAAATCAGCCTATGCTATGCTTGTTCGTTGTTCGGCTATCGCTGTTGTTAGTGAGCTCGTCCCTGTAATTTGGTGGAAGCAATTTTGGGGTTTATCGATTCTCCCCAAATTGAAACTGTTTGTTTGGAAACTGCTTCACAATGCTCTACCTCTGTTTTCGACTCTTAATCAGCATGGGGTTCCTGTTAATCCCTTACGTGTGTTTTGTCATCAACACCCGAAAAATCCGACACATTTGTTTAGGGAGTGTTCCTTTATTAGTCAGTTTTTTAATGATGTTCCTCTAAGGTTTGAGCTCACTTTTCCCCTTATTCAACCTTTTGAGCGTTGGGTTATGGAGTTGATTTCTGGTTTTGCTAAAGCTATGAATTGGAATGCTCTTTTCTCTTTCCTCTCCTTGCTCTGGGCTGTTTGGCTGACTCGTAATCATTATGTCTTCCGGAACGCGGTTTACTCTCCTGTCTCCACTTCTTATAAGGAGGATGAATGGTTCTCCCGTCTTAAACAGGCTGTTCTCCTCTGTGGTTGCCCAGTTGACCTGTCAAGGTCATTTTTCCATTCGCTTTCTTGTTCCTTCGTTGGGTTGGTTGAGGGGTCTTGGGCATGAGTCTTTGGATGTTTGCTTGATTTTTGATGGTGCCTGGGATGGCCTAGGTAATAATGTTGGTGCTGGTTGGATCTTTCGAGATATGTCTTCTGATATAGTCTTGGGTGGGGTTTCACGGCCTTGTCGTACTTCTTCAGCTCTTCAGGCAGAGTTACAGGTGTGTTTGTGGGCTCTTTGGTAGGCTTCACAAAGGGGTTATGGGAAGGTCTTCCTTTATTCAGATCGTGCTACGCTGGTCTCCCTGCTTTGTGGGTCTCGTTCTGATGATATAGACTGCTCGTGGTTGCTTCAGGAAATTAGGTTAGCTCTGAGGGATTTCGCTGCTTGCAGAATTCGAAAGGTTCCTAGATCTTGGGTAGCTCCTGCTCACTGGCTGGCGGTTAAGGCTCGTCAACGCCGGTTTCTATTTTGCACTTTTTTATTTCAGTTTGTTTGTTTCTTTTTTAGTAAAATTTATGAACAAATAATATTATAAAATACATTGTTCAAAAAAAAATATTAGAATATACAAATTGCAATATCTCTAGCAATATCGCATATGATAAAAAAAAATTAGGAAAAATTGTTTTAATAATTCCAACCTTGGGCGATTTACTTGAAATAATCTCAACTTTCGATTATTTTAAAATAATTCCAACTTTGGAGTGGATTGTGGGGGTTGTCGGGCTGGTGTTTATTTATTTATTTATTTATTTTAATTGTCAAAAAATACGAACTTTAAGCGGCTCGCTAAAAACAAGTCAATTTTTTGGTTATTTTTGAATAATACAAACTTTGGGGGTATCCGTTTTAAACAATTTAATTTACCTACAATCTTGATGATCGGTTAACATTTTTTTTTTGGATAAAATTGTTAAACAATTAAATTAAACTCATAATCAAAACTTTAACTGTGGTTATTTAAAATAACTCCAAATTAAATAATTTAATAACATTGCGTTTTCTGTGTGACCGGTTTACACACACCAAAACTCTAACCGAGTAATTCCTGACGGACCGAGTAACCACACCCACACGGTGTGCCCAGCCACATATGAAACTTTGTGACTGAATAAAACCTAATGAATTAAATTTTTTTTTTATGACCTCCCCATCCCCCAGCCAACCAACCATCTGCCCCGGAGCTTTGAGCCCTCCCCCACCCTCAATCCTGGCGGCGCCTAGCCAGCCCCCCTTTTTTGCCCGCTCTCCGCTCTCCGCCCTTTCCCCCACCCCTATCATTAGCCCCCCCAAAACACCATCCCCAAAGCCCCTCTCCCTCCCCACGAAACTCCCTAGAAATCCCTCCCTCACCCACGAAACTCCCAACTACCCCTCCCCCCACCCCCAAAATCCTAGCAACAAGGGTTTTGTGGGTAGGGAGAGGGGCGGTTGGGACTTTTGGGGGTGGGGGAAGGTAGGGGTTTCTAGGGTTTTTCGTGGGGGTTGTGGGGATGAGTCGAGTCAGCACGAAAGGGAGGTTAGACATGGAGGAGGTTGGTTCAAGTTTTAGATGGGGGATTGAAGAAGGGAATGACTAATTTTCAGATTTTTTTGTTATAAAAAATAACCAATTAGATAGCGACACATGTAAATTACCTTTTTTATTTGTCAAAAAAACTATTTTAAGAAAATGTAGATTAAAAGTAATTAATTTTTTTTTTTTTAAAAAAAATATAGAAAACCATAATAATGCCAAATGGACCTTTAAAGTTGGGATTGTTTTTGTTTTTTTTTTGGGATTGTCTTGAAAACATCAGGAAAGTTTGATTTCCCTTTGAGAAAATAAATAAATAAAAAAAAAAATCAAGAAGTTTTGATTATTAGTTTCAAACTTTCAATTTTTCAACCTACATTATCAATTTATCACCCAACAAAATATTCCTTCGTCAATTGAAAGCTAAAACCCCCTCATCCCCTGAAAACTCTGCAAAGCGCGACTAAAAGCACACAAAACTCTGCTTTCTTCCTCTTCTTCTCTTTCAACCTCTTCATTCTTCTTGTAAAGGTTTGACCTTTCTTCCCCCTTGTCACTTTTTTCATTTAGATATCCTTAGATTTTGATTACCATGGATGATTCTTTTTGGGTTCATTTTTTTTTTATTTTTTTCAATTGGGTTTGTATATTATTGTTGTCTTACCTTGTCTATATTCTTATTTGGTGGTTTTTACAAAAATAAATCATTAAATTATTCATGTTAACTGCTTTGGCATTAATTTGCATTAATAAATTGTAAATCAAACCATCTCCTAGATTGCTTCAATTGATCTTTGCTTACCCAATTAATCAATTTTTGGTTGATTCTGAGATTTTTGGGGATATATAATTGTCGATGGTGTACCCGTAATTTGTGATAATTCTGATTGCTTAGATGGTAGCAATAGTGCTAACACTCGCAGAGTCACAGTTAGCTATTTATCTTTAATGGGCTTTTGATGTTAAAACAATGATACTTCGATTAAGGAATTATTCCAACTTTTTTAATATTGAAAGGTTTTTTTAAAAAAATAAGTGCAATGATAAATTTTATGTATTTATTGTAGAAACTGAGTTTTGTGTGATCCCGTTTGCGCGCAATTTCCATCCTACACCCGAGTGTAATTTTATACCCTCTCACATTCTTCTCTCCGTACAAGTAGGAGGATGTACGCTTGGGTATAGGATAAGTGCCCTACAATTTGTTGTTGTTGTTGTTGTGTGTGTGTGGTGGGGGGGGGGGGTTGTTTTGGTGTTATTGATTTGAAATTGAATTTGGACAAGTGTAGCGGTACCTTTTAGATAAGACCCTTTTTTATTTCATTGTTTGTCGATGTTATAACATAATTGGTGATTGCTAATTTTTGTGCTTCTTGAAGAATAATATTTTGCTAATTAGAGTAAAAGGAGCAGTCTTCCGAGCTAGCTTCTTATATGCCGGGAGATGAGTTAGCTTGAGTATGTGTGCTAACTTTGGAAGATACTTACCCTCTGGCATCATCAGTGTCACTCTCTCTACTTGGACTTATCCAGCTTTAAGCTGACAACACAATAGATATTACTATGATCTTTGTAAGGGCAACATCTGATTTAGGAAGGGGATCGTCATGGTTACTGAGAGCGAATTTCGGCCAACATTTACAAAAATGATCTTGACATGGTCGTACTTTGCATTTCTCTTTACCTTGTGCTTTACAATTATAAAACATGTTAATTAAGTGATTGTCTTTAACTCTATACAAAAGTACTTTTCAAATTATTTTAAATTCCTCTATAGGTATAGGCAGACAACTGGACTGGTGGTAATTAATTAGCAGAAGTGAATATTTAAATTAATGTATTTGAAAGATATTCGCGACTCCTTTATCAATTTAATGCATTTTCTGTTTTTGCCATCACCTCAGTTATGGGAAAGGACGCAAAGAAAAAGGAGCCTGCGGGTAAAGGTAAGGGAAAACAAGCAGCTGGTGGCAGCGATGAGGGTGCTTCAAAGGATAAGGGTGGTTCAAAAGGTGGTAAGGGAGACAAGCTTGGAACTTGCAATTTTGTCAAAGGTAGGCTGCATTCCCCTACTCTTTCCTTTTATCTTCACCTAGTGCGTAATATCACTTTCACTATTGCTGAACTTGTGTTTTGGTTACCTTTTTCAGCTAGGCATATATTATGTGAGAAGCAAGGGAAAATTAATGAAGTATACCAAAAACTTCAAGAAGGTTGGCTTGACACTGGGGATAAGGTTCCACCAGCTGAGTTTGGAAAGGTATGTTCAAATAAACTGTTAAAGATTTAAGTTTTTGCCAGTTTTAAAGTAATGCACAAGCTTGATGTGGTTATCAATCTTATCATCATGTCATGAGTAATGGTGGTCAGTGGAAACTTGTGCTGAGTATGATAGCGATTAGCGAGACTGTTTGCTGGCAGTGCTAGCTATGCAAAAGGAGGGGGGGAGCTGAAAAAGGTTGTAATCTCAAATTAGTTGCAAGAGGAACTATATTTGGATTGCAAACACTATTTTTTCTCTTGTCCCAGTGATTGACATGCGAAATTCTAGTTCCCTTGCAATACCATTAACTTTTTAACCAAACTAGAGTAATAACATCAGAATTTTATGATTGACGTCAGTAATTACAGAACACATTGGAAGATTGAAAACAAATCTTCATATTTCAATTGATACACTAAAGAATTTGTCAATCTGTCAACAAAGCAAACAATACCTATTTATATCATGATGTAAGTCATGGAATTAAGTCTGGGCAAATGATGAACAATGACATGGTTTTAAGCGTTGTAGCATGCCTCTAAGGTAATAAGGAAAATTTTACAAACCTACATTATACGGGTGGCATTTAAGGAGCGTTAGAAGTTGAATGTAGCATAGATGAGTATGTTGAGATGAGTGTGTGGGAAAATCTTGAGGTATTGGATTAAGAACCGGTTTGGAGGAAATTTAGAGTTGAGGTCGAGGATACTGATGACAAGATAACGGTGAATCAACTCCATTCATTTGGGCATTTGAGATGTCGACCTGTGGGGTGTGTAAAGGTTGAGCGTTGGGATAATGGAGAGTTCAAAAGAAGTCGATGGAGACCTAAAATGACTTAGATTAAAGCTGATAGAGGAGTAAAAACTGATATGAAAGTGTTTTTTAAGAGCTAGCACTGTATAGAACTCATAGAAGCGAATGGAGGAAAAGTATCTTTTTTATAGATGACCATGTGAGACGGTGAGATAGATTATTGGTTCATGTAGTCAACCCCGTCCCTTCGGAAATAAGGTTTGAATTTTTACATGCTCCTTTCTGCTAGTCGGATATTTACATTATGTTTGAGTACTATACAAATGTGAAGTTTAAAGCCACTACTCGAGTGCCCCATACGCTAAAAAAAAAAAAAAAAAAAAAAAAAAAAAAAGCCACTATAACCCACAAGCTGAGGGAAGTCCGCGGAGAGGGGAGGTGAAGGAGGGAAGGAATTATTTTTGAATTCAAAATGCGTGTATCTCAGTCTATGAAAATGTATGTGACCTGTGGACTTACAATTGATTTTTAATAGTTTGTAATGAACTGATTTTCTGGCTTACTATTTTCTGATTTAATAATGCAAGTAATAAAGATGAAAGCTTCAAGATTGATTGATAAATGGTGGAAGGGTTACAAAGGATGAGTTAATGCTTAAGGCTATTACTCTAAAAGAGTGAGGTTAGCTCACAACTCTCCAAAATGGCTTTAGGCCATGACTCTCTAAGGTTTCCCTCAATACAAATTTCTGCTTCCCCTCTTCTTTCTACTCTCTCTCTATATATACTAAACACTAAAGCTAAGGACTCTAACCTACTATTATATTACTAGAATACCCATACTACCCCTCCTTAGGTTAGTCTATTACATAGTTCTGTCAAAAAAAGAATAGATTTCTCATTGAATTAGTGATTGATGCCTGACATAAGTAAACCGTTTTCTTGAATTTGTGTATCGATGTCTCTTTCTTGTCTCTCTAAATTTTTAAAATTAACCAAACATTACAAACAAATTGTCATTTGAACATGTATATGAGGCAAGATGCCATTTGTCATATAATGGAAGAAAGAAGAAACCATGAGATGTAGTTTTGTGAAAGATAACGCCTTTAGATGTGGTAGTTATTGTTATGTAAAGATATTTCTAGCTGGGTGAGGTGATGAAACTCAATTTATTCTGACATATATAGTGGCATTTACTTTGAAATGATCACAACATATGGTTTGAAGAGTTTAGGTATATTTTTGGGGAAGAAGTGGTGCTTGCATAGGTGCTTCACCATGGGTATACAGGTTCATGGCAGTTTTTCTGGTATTGTGTTGTTACCTGTTTTCTTCATATTCTAAGTAAAGATAAAACCTCTGGAAAATTGAACCTTTTACAGTGTTTTATTTCCTAGAAGTTTAGAGAAAACCTTTGCATTGCCAAACAGAAGTTGATGGGTTTCTTGCAAATGCCATTTTTTTTGGATGTATTACGTTTAAGAACTAGAAGCTATCTTTAGAAGCTTGGCCAAACAAACCCTTTTCAAAGTATTTGATTTGTATTAAAATTTGACAAAATGTGCATCGATATCTTGTAATGTATTTCTGTACTCCTTAGACTTCACTGTTGCCTTTTTTTTTTTTTTTGGGACAGTTAGCTACTCAATACTCGGAATGTCCTTCTGCCAAACGGGGCGGGGACCTTGGATGGTTCCCACGAGGGAAGATGGCTGGCCCATTTCAGGAGGTTGCTTTCAGCACTGCTATAGGAGCAACCAGTCCACCTTTCAAATCTACGTAAATCATCTGAAACTTAATTCTTATTTGCTTTTAACTACTTCACCCTCTGAAATTATCCCTATTTTTGATGATTCAGGCATGGTTACCACATTGTATTGTGTGAAGGTCGAAGGGGCTAATGGAACTTGCCAGCATCGTGTTTTCATCTAAAATGATGATTGTGCTGCTGGAAATAACTATCTTTTGATATAACTATCCAACAGATGCCTTATGGTACCCTATGGTAGACCATGGAAGTTTAAACTGGATATTTGCTTGAACAAGTTGTGATATATATCATACATATTGGCTATTGGCTTGTGACATGATTTCTCGCTATTCTTCATGTGGTTACAGATTCTGATTTTCCGTTTTATGTTCACTGGTTTGTAATCAATAAGGATTAATATTGGACCAAAGATTGATTTATAAGGGAGGGCGTGTTTAAGATCACATCGTTACATACCCGAATATCCCACATATCAGCCAGAAATTCTACACACTGCAGAATAAACAATCAAGCATCATGTCTAAGATCACATTACAACATACTCGAATATCCTGTACATCAACCAGAGATTGTATAGAATACAGTATCAACAGTCGAGAATCTGTCTAAACTATACCTGTACAAGATTGATTTACCAGAATGAATTACTGATATGTATTTGATTCGAACTTAATTTAAATTTACTTGACCTAAACCCATATATGGCTTGAAAAAAATTCGAACTGAACATGATTGAAATCTGAGTCATCGTGTCACGGTCCGAGAGTTTGGACACTGGATCGTGCGGCGCGCACTTGTCTATTGACGACAAGGATGCAAGCCTAGAGCGAAGGGGGTTCGTGGCACACAGCAGCACGGACCAAAGGTATCTCAACGAAGCACTCGTCAACAACGAGTGCTGAGTCGGGCTTGTGACGGCCGATATTTCGAAGCGGGCACAAGCGGGACCGACAATAAGGAAGGCGTCTTTTGAGGTTCTCTTGGTTTGGTGGGGAGGCTTTAAAACAAGGCAAGCACAATATCTATAAAGGCTTAAATCATCACACAAGTCTTAAAGCAAAGGCAACCGGATAGGAGCTTTCATTCATTCAACCATTCGCCCCATAAAGAGCTTTATATTGATTACATGGTTAAATACTAGTGAACGCTGGAACTATAGTAACACAATAATTTCCTCTAGAGCCTAGAAAGCAAAAAGAAAGACGTAGAAGATACTACATAAGGAAAATACAAGGAAAAAGGAAGGGGGATATATAGAGAAAGAGACGGATTCTAACACATTGTCTATTTGTTTTCCTAACCACAATCAACCTTACACAAAGCTATGTGCAATGATCAAACATAAAGTTCAAGACCGGACTTGTCCTAAAACCTTGTGTAAAAAATAAATAATAGATAACCTTGATATTGAATTTTAGTGATAAGTATTTGTTTCCTGGTAAAAATAAATAAATAAATTGACGAGACATTAGTTGGTCAAAAAATTTGCCAATTGTAGTTAATTTTTCCTACTACCATCTCTTGTCAAGACTGTAATCGATGCAATAAATGAATTGCCCACATGCCACAAGCTAGCCAAGCTTAGTGCTACAGCAAAGAAATTATGATATGGAAATATTGAAATCATAGGCTTTAGTTAGAATAAAGACAACGATTTGCTGATCGAAGTTTTAATTGAGTCTCACACAAAATGTAAATAGGTCATGCAATACTTCTGCAAAATAAGATTTAAAGAAAAAATGCTCCTAATATTTTATTCAAGATCTTTAGAACAAACTCTTACTAACAAGTGACAAGGAGACTTTGAAGACCAGTGATTAGTTCCAACAGAATTTAAAATGAAAAGCATCACCGGAATGTTTGTAACAAGCACCATACTGCATCATAGCAATTTCCACTACACTAACAGAAAGTAGGTCAAATTATACTCCATAATTATATACGGGGACTAACTCATCCAACATTTGATAATCTAACTCCGGGAATGAAGGTTCTCTTACAGAATAGGCCCTTCCAAGTTTTGAAATTCAACAGAAACCCAGTCCAAAGAAAGATGGCCAAAATGAACCAAGAAATGGGCAAGAAATATTCGCAGGAAGAGGATCCCAGGATATATTCGTGTACATTTTGGTTGATCAACCGCCAACTGAGAGCTGAAGCAGAATAACTAATTTGAGTTCTCATGTAGCAGTACATATTCTCGGCTGCAGAAACCCATATTAGATAATCAGGTCATGAAACAAACATTTTTCAAGTTAGTTTTAATATAAAGAGGAAACGGGAATGGGAATGGGAACTGAGAATGATTGCTGTGAAAATCATGTTACAACTTACCTGCTATTGCCGAATTTTATGGTATCCTTCTCAAAGAGCTCATAATAACGTTGAGCTTCAATAGGATTCTCCTGTGATTCAATGCAGCAAACTAAGTCAAGCTACTTAGCAAACATTATCAAATATCACAGGTAATGAAGGGTTTAAAATATAAAGAATAGCTTACATTAATGAAGGTCTTATTGGTGCTTCCAAGGTCCATCAAGTATGGCCTGTTTAATAACAAGTTTAAGATATAGGAAGTCATACACAAATGTGCATTTGATACACTTTCTGATAGTGGAAACCATAAAAAATTGTGCACTTCATACATTAATAATTGGAATTTAAAAATAAAATAGGTTTAAATCTGTACAAAAAATGTGCTATTAGAAAGAAGACTTTTTGAAATTTACCAATGGGAAATACAAGAAAAAAATTAATGGAGTATTGTTATTTACTCTGCTGATAAGAATAAATAATGATTTCCAAAATTAGCTTGTTCAAATAATTCAAAATTAATAGGGCAAATTCATTTTCATCCTATATTTGAGCAATTGAGCAAATTGAATAAAGTTCTTCAAGTAGCATGCAAGCAGTTATATTTTTGAAAATAAGATATTTTGCACTTTCCAGCTTAAATTTAATAAAGTTAACAACAAAACATCAGATATGAAATTACTAAAACAAATGCTGCTCCTTTCCATAGGCATTTCTCATGAGCAAAGCAAATGAAATAATTTTTTTTTTAAAAAAAAAAAAAAAGTACTCGTAGAAGGAAAATAAATCATGGGAAACATTAGCTATATTTTTTATTTTTCAAAATAAGTTGCTAGGTCTTTTTTTTTTTTTTTTTTTTTGGTACAAAAAATGTAAAATTCCTGATAGTATTGACCACATGCTTTACCTTACTTGCTTTGACACCATGCCATCAGGTTGCTCCTTTTCAACTTGCCTGACCAAAAGTACAATTTGTTATAGTAGCTTACCAAATGATTAGTTGAGGAGAAAAATGTTAACAAACCTACCGATATTGAAGGACTGCATGTTGTTTGCTACAAGACGGATGATCTGTAGGTATATCAGCTATCCTTCTTTCTCTTCCAAATAGGTAACAACTCTGACGATGTACGTAAAGTGGCTCTGATAAAAATTGAGATGCAATTACATCAGGACCCACATTTCAAAGGAGTGAAGCACATAATTAGCATAGGAGTTCATGCTGAATGGAGAGCATGATGAAGAGCTTTCAAAAGTAACTTCATAGCGTAAAATTGAAAGGGAAGAAAGAAGCTAGCAGATCCTAACAAGAATTTTCCATCTTTCTGTCATCAAGTCCCTTTTCGGCCTCAATCAAAGTCTTCTTCCTCGTAACATAGTTTACCTAAGTTGTTCTTTTCAATTAGCTCTAACTTTATATGCAACGCAGCCACCCTCATAGACATGCATATGCATCATGTCACTTGCCAAGCATGTTTCTTCCTCAATACTCAATAAAACTAGAATATTTCACTTCTGTAATGGACTAACATGAGATATTAAGATAGCCAAAGGATAAGGTAGGGATGAGAAAGTAGGGAAGCTAACTCCCTCAGTAGGAAAGGTACACTTAAAATGGGATCATTATGCTATGAATAAGCATAGCTTAGGCTTCATTGATGGCAGATGTAACAGCATGTGAATGATAATTCCACTTTTGAAAGGTGGATTCTCTCCTAATTTAGCTTCACTAAGCTGACCCAAAACACTCAAACAATATTCAACATGCTAATCCCTTCCTATTATTCTCTTATCTATAGTATTACTCCTCCAACTAACTCCCTTGTATTCATCCTTAAGGGTCTACTGCCAGAATCATATTGCACTACCTAATATGCCCCTCCACTTTACATCAGTTCATTGCATTACAGGGCCCCAAACTCCCATTTTGTCCTCGAGGCAGGGCAGTAGCCAGCAAAAAAATTTGGCTTCAGTAATGATGGGCACTGTCGTCCTTAGAGAAATAGAGAGGAATTCTTTTAGTGCCTCTAGTGGTGAATCTAGGGTGAAATGATCCTGGAAGCTATCATGCGTAGAACTGGTAGAAGACAAGGATTGTGTTGTGTGTAGCCTTTCCATCTGACTTTGACAACGGCTATGCAGACTGCATTCAACCACTAAAGAGAGAATCCAGAATAGACTCGCCACTATAGATAGTTTTCCTATGAATTAGCACAGCTTAGACATCCTTAGTAGCAGAAATCAGGGAAGAAAAAGATACTTCTTTGTTTAATAAACTGAATCACATCAAATGTGAATGATAATCCCACTTTCAATAAAAGCAACTAACATATTTGGTGAACAAATAAACAGAATCACACAAAAGAAGATTCATTTGCTGGCTACTAAGCACATACATGACCCGCGAATCCGTGATGGGGGCATCTTATCCTAAATGAGCATATGGTCTAACCGTCTAGCCAAATTATGTCATCAACCCCTCTTGTAATCAGTTCAAAGCAGACACAGCATACTACTAGATCAATTGTCTATCCTAACATGCTGACAAGCAGCTTCAACAACAAGTGGTCCATGCACACTGTAATAACAATATACATCAGCCGGACCTTCCCTAAGATGCAATAAAGGAGCACACCAGCAAAATTCCATCAGGACAATTGTGAAAGGCAACATAAAGAGAAAAAACATTTTAATGGATGAAATCATTACCTAACCTTGAAGAATCAAGTGTGACTACCTAAAAGGCTAGCCAATCAATACCAGAGTTCCAACAAGCCTCAATCCCTATGTTGCCTTCAAGTACCTTATCATTTGTTACATTAACCGTATTCTTGTACATCACAAGAATGCAAATTCTATCAATTCCAATTTCCAAGTTAACAACTACGCTCATCCAGATTAGCAAGTCATCCACCCAAGTCTCTGGACACCATCTTCAAAGGCATATTCTCTCAGGAACTTCCTCGTTCCGAATCAAAATCAGAAATTGACTTTACACATATTCTCAACCAACATCAGACCTCAACTATCAAATACCATCAGCGGCTTTTAACTTACATCCTACATGTACAGCTAAGCTAAATAGCTGAAAGTTGGCTCAGTTCATACCCAAGTGGTCACGCTTGTATATGTTATACTAAATTGCCACAGATATAATCATGATAATTGAAACAATAAGGAAACCGAGATCACCGTCACTATATATTGTGATGCAAACACATGTAACTGATAAAACAAATATGTAATTAAGTATGATCCATTCCAGGAACAGCTTACCTAGATTTCACCCTACAAGGCAAATAAAAACAAGGAAAATATAGAAAGTTTATAATTAGGATCAGGGCTCAGAATACATTCAAGAAGCCGTTTTGAAGAGTGACTACCTGCTAAGCAAAACCTAATGCTGCAAACCCCCCCCCCCTCCACTCAAAGATTATAAAAGAACTGCCACTTTACAAGTACGGTTTTAGAGATGAAAGATGACAATTGTCAATGCACCTAGACTCGCAGGAAAAAAAATATATATACGAAGGATATAATTCGTAGGTTTACAAAAGTATGGACATTGACTATGACATTCTTACTTGGCTACTAATGTTGGACTGCACGTGCATAGGAGTCAAACTTGGCCAAATGGCACATTATTGGTCCATATTAACTATCCAGGGCTCATGCTCATTTAAGAGTGTCATCTACACAAGACGCTTACTGGCGAAAGGAAGAAGTTAAATAACATAGGATGATTAGATCAAGCGTATTCTTTTATTTCTGATATAAGAAAGATCATATAAATGTTAAACATCTCAACTGGTGACTCAAGAATAAATTCCTGAATAGATTGTCTACGTCAGGATTGTGTGTTTTAAAGTTGTTACTTTTAGTTCGAAATTTCGAATACTCTAGATCAAACCTAGTTTGTGAAGCATTCTCATAGGATTAAGGCTCTGAAATATATCAAAATAGAAAGAAACAAAGTAAGAAAGTTTAGAAGACAGCTTGCATTGCAATAAGCAGAAAGGGCAGTATAAAACCACATTACCCAATATCAAATACAGATTAAGACGAACAGCTCTTTCCAACCTACCATTTAATACTTCACCGCCCTTGAAAACATACAAACGCCATCTTACGTTAGGTTTCCGAGCATCAGGAGGTTCGGTGAAAAGCAAAGTAATGCCTGCAACAGTAAAAAATTAAAAAAAAATTAAAAAAAAAATAATCACATGAGAAGAAAAAATAACTTTGGCAATAGGTACCCAGATGTGCATAAAAGGTTCTCATAAAAAAGACAAATTGCCCGACATTGTCCAGATTCAATCTGGAAAGCATATCAATGCAGTTCTCCCAAGGATAAAATTGAAACATTTCTACTCACAGTTTTACAATAAAGGTTCCCTATACATTTCATTGAATTTTCATGCAGATGCAAATCTTCCACTCTTCCAAAGTGTCAAATTGATAACTGGATGTGAATACTGAATAGCTCTGATTCTTAGAAGTTAGAACTCTCAGAAGCATTTGGTTTCCTCTTCATAAGCCATCAATCCAAGTTTTCCTTATGCATTAAGTATTTGGGTATTGGTCCATTGCCCCTCATAGTAAGTCAGGAGCATGGTAGAAAACTGATCACAAAAAAGTGTTTGTTGGAGAAATCATGAGACAAGATTCATTCCCTTATCAATTGGATCTATCCGATCCCGAATCAGTGGATAAACTGACCATTTAACAGCCAAACTACTTTTGAATGGTTCTGTAACTAGTGGATAGTGCTAGCACGTTGAATGAATGGGCTGTTCTGATATAAACTCTGCAACAAGTATTTTGGTTCTGTAAGGCAAATGCTATAGATTATGGAGTAACATATATGCAAACGCATCAAAGTTCAACATAAAAGTCCACCCTCATGAATAACACAACCTTTTCTTCAATTTACTACAAGAGTACTCATCCACCATGTGCCCTCCCCTGCATACCCCCCCCCCTTTTTGTTTCCTCCTGGGTGCCCCTTTTTCCTCTGTTCTATGCTAGTCATCTATTTATTCTCCAAACCTTCCCGCAAGTCATCAAGCAGCTAGCTGTTGCAGAACACAGCCGAAATGCTTCGACTCTTTCTTCACCAAAAGCCTAATGCGAATCTTTATGATGGCATAGTCAGGCAGACAGGGACTCAGGGTGGTACAAACATACACGATCTTGACCAGACTGATTAGTCATTATACTATATGCTTGCAGATGTTCTCCTTTTATTTTTCTAAATCTTGGCATGAATGAATTTTATCATTTAGGGTGTCTTGCTTGGCTGTTCTTATCCTTTTTAGACCTTTTTTTTTAAGAGAAGGGGACCTGTCTTGGTTTTCAACTGACATATCTTCTTTCATATTATTGATAGAACAAATATATACAAAAAATATTTCTTTGCTTTACCTTCTCTTGGAGTTTGCTTAATCAAGTCAAATGAGATAAATTTATATTAACCCCCAACCCTTAATAAAAAATACCTTAGCAACTGCTAAGTTTTAATTGTATAAAAAACAAAATGTTAAGCCCCAAATTCTATTTGGAAAAGGACACCTCCTAATCTCCTACCCTCCCCCCCCCCCCCGGAAAATTTCATCACAACGGTATTCATCGATTATAGAGGGTGTATGGAAAGAATATTCTTGTTCCACTTGAAGGTGATAATATCATACGTAGTTAAAAACTTAAAATCAAGCCAAACGACCACAAAGATCACAATGTATACTGCTGTTGGATGATTAATGGTGGGTTAGGCTATAAACATCTCTCTCACCAATCAAAGCTTCCAAGAAACACACAGATAAGTTAAGATTTAGATAATTTGACACAAAATTGTATCTTCAATGAAGGATGATTGAGACAGGAGTTGGGACAGAGAAGAAGACCAAAAAGCCATAGTTCGGCAACTAGACTCCGCTTGGCAGTTGCCACCACAACATCTCAAACAGTACTCTTGTCCCCAACTAACATAACACAACAGCACCTCTAACTCCTAATCCACCTGAAAGAAGGAAAACAAAAGGTAACCTACCAGCTACTGTTTAAATCTTCACTCGCAGTCTCATATTTCTGAGTTGACCTCCCACTTCATTCTCCACCAACCTACTATTTATAAGCTTTCTTCCATTTTCCTTTAATCTTAGTCGTAGATAGTACAAATTGTCAAGAAAGGAGCTTAGGAATTCTAAGCCACGGGATACATTGTAGACTCTACAGCCCGTGTTGTTGGTCAAATACAGGATTCCTGATAAATGTTAATTCAGATGAGAACTAACTTCCTTCCAAACTAATTATCTTTTTTTTGTTTCCATTCTTCTATACCATTATACCACTGAATTGATGTCTGCCTATCAGTAAATAAAGCAACAAACAGAAGCCTATGTCACTGATGGCTGTTTACTATCTACATAGCTTGACGATTGTCGATTCTGTGCCAGAATTTCAAGAAACAAAGTATGTGTTACCAAAATTCCAGAGGAAAAGAAGCATCAAATTAAGAGGTTGAAAGTTACCTTTTACTCGATTGGTTTCTTCAGCAAGCTTTCCTGATAGCTCAAATGAAGGTTTTTGCTGCATATAACACAATAATAATAAACTGATTCAGCAAAATTAAGAAATCAATCATACAACAAAATACTAACAACATATGGCAAGATACTTGTTCCAAATAAGAAAAAGCAGCAGTTTTAAATCAGATACTCAAAAAGAATTTATAAGAGAATATAATCCATCAAGAGTATAGAGCATATACTACCTCCATTTTTTTAATTTTTAGTTGTTCCATTTGCTTTTGGCACGAGGATTAGGATGGTGAGAAACAAGGATAGTTTATTACAATTAATCCATGTGATAGGTGATTGGCCACAAAGAAAGAGAAAGGTACAACAGTTTGGAAACCAAAAATAAGATAAAGGGTCATAGAGGCAAAAACGTTTGTAGAACAAAACACTTCAAATAGGAAGGTGGAACACAGGAACAGTTAAAAAGACGCAGGTAATACATATCAAGGTCTGAGCTAAGTATACCTTTTCCTTCGTTGTCAATGCCTGTTCAGTAGCTTCCATTTTTGCAAGTGCATCAACGTCATCATCATCTCTAATCATGCCAAAAAAAAAAAAAGAAATAGGATACATAAAAAAATCAATGATCTCCAGAGAAACTAACAAAAACAAGGTGATGTATAAATTTTACCATCAAAGGAAAAAGGAATGAAACATTTTTATCTACATCAGATTTCAGATGAAGAATAATTGGAAAGATTTTCAGCAAAGAAATTTTTTCACTGAAATACTCACCGGTGTTCAGCTCCTCTATATTCTTCATCCTGAAATAGAAACCAAAAGAAATTTAGACATAAAATAAAGCATCAAATTCCGGATCTAACAACTCCCACAATTAAAGAAAAATTATTAGATAAGCAACCCTATCAGCAAATTGGAACTAATTGGGCGAGAAAATGACTATTTTTAATCAAATTAATGATTAAGAATCACCAGCTTTACGAATCTTTCATTGTTACATCTTTAGTTAGACGTAACTCATTATCTATAGTAAAACCTCAGTAGTCTTTATAAAATGTGTTCTTTTACTTATTCAGCAGTTCTCACATAATCTAATTCTCAAAATGAGTTCTTTTATGCAGCCCTTGAATCTTAAGTAGTGGTTAGAATCATAGAGTTGATCCAATATGTTAATCATTTCTAGGAGCATAAGAAGTAATCTTTAGATTGAATGTTCAGTTCTACTATTAAGGATACATTAAAGAGACAATTAGGTTTGATGATTTTGAATGGTACTGGTATGGAAAAAAGGAGGTGAGATTATTAATATACATTGACACATGCACATCACTGAAACAACAAAAAAAATTCAATTTGAGAATTATTTCTCAAACACAGGATTTTCAAAATTCAACAATTTTATATAAAACTATAATTATCTATAATTCTATACACACCAAAATTAAACAACGCAATAAATTTACCCAAATTACCAATCAACCAATTATCCAAACCTATCAGAGTATGAGTAGGCAAAAAAGACATCACATATGAAAGTAAAGGATATGAGGTTGCCATTATTACTAATTAATATATACAGATTGTGAATAATAAAGCACACAAGATAAGTAGGAAATATGATCAAGCATCGGGGTTCTGTATGTTTTGATAATATACATTTTCCGTAAAAATGATTTTTCCATAGAAAACAATTTTCAAGGGAAAACCCAATTGTAAAATAATTTTGCTTTGCTTCCCACAAGGAAAATTATAGAGGAAAAGGAAAATGGGAGTGAAAGGGAGAAGATGGATGAGAGGAAAGGGATGTAAGGAGTAGGGAGGAAAATGTGACATTCCTTCCTTCCTTTTAAAAGGAAAATGTTTTTACCCTTGGGAAAACTGTTTTCCACCTTTAGAAATAATGTCTTCAACCCTTTACAAAACAAACACTTTTTTTTCATCAAAACAACAAAGCCTAAGTCAAAAACAAAGCCAGAGTTTGGATATCACCAGACACCTCATCACGAGCTCTGGAATGAGAAGGCGGTGGAGGTGACCGTGAATAGTGCCGGCTGCAATGACGATGATGATCTGATGGTGACTCAGATTGCTGGTGTCTTGATCTAGAAGATCCACCATCTGCACCATCTCTTACTCTGCCTCTTTCGCTATCTCTTTCCCTTTCTCTGTCTTTGTCAGATTTCCGCTCTCTTCTATCCTTCGGAACTTCCCTCTCAGAATCCCTTTCCTTATGATTCCTCTCATGCTTAGACTTGTCATTTCCCTTACCAAGATTTTTCTCACGTTCCCTGTCTAAAGATTTTCCAGCATCCCTTTCAGCCTCAGATCTCCTTAAACGTTTAGTCCTAGGTGATGGAGATCTAGGCCCAGGAGAGCTCAATTTCACTGGTTTGGGTGACTTAACGCGGCCTGAATGCCTCTCCCTCACTGGAGAACCACCCTTATCCCTATGAGCGCTCCTGTGACGAGCTGGGGATCTTTCTCTACGAGATGGGCTCCTACTACGAGGAGAGCTCAAGGCAGGGGATCTTCTTCTTCTGCGAGGTTCACCATGATCCCTCTCTGGGGAGACCGAGTGCCTGGATGAATGATGCCTTGCTGGAGATTTTCGAACAACTGAAGGACTCATCTACATACCATAACAAAATTTACTGTTAACAGAGAACATCCACAACGTTACTTGAACTTTTGAAGCGTCATAAGAAAATAATACATGTTCCCTGGGAATTTTTTTTTTTTTAATGTTAAACATGGCAAATTGGTGTATAACGCAAATAACTGATGGCCACATGACTAAAATCAGTAGCTAGTTCAGGTGACTATTGTAAAATTCAGAGGATGAAAAATTGATGGCGTGCCTACAACTGAGAAGCTTACAGCAATCCAATCACAGTAGACCAATAACAAGATACAAAGTCAAATACAATAGTTCAATAACAATTTAAATTACAATTAGTATCCTCGGCTCTTATGTTCCAGCATTCTACAACTCAGAATTGTTAGGTTTTATTAACAACTATTGTTTACATTTTTAACAAAAGAAGCATAGCTCACTACACTATGAATAAATTGAATCCAAAATTCAATCCACCTGATGTAAATCAAATCCTATTTTACTCTAACATAGTGGCTAATGCTATATTAGTACTTAGTATGTAACCGATCCTTTTAATGCTTTATGGGAGTTGCATGTTTTACGTCACAAACTCACACTTTAAGTGAGAATTTTACCTGTGACAGGTTAATTTATACTCCACGTAGTATTTTAAAACTCTAACCATTAGCATCACATGTCCCCTACCCTTATTCTTCATTTTTCCCAGTTTGAAGAAAAACAATCATAAATTTCTCGGTTTCATTATTACAGTCCGTGTGTTAAAAACTAGATAAATTTTGCTTACTTATATTGGGCCTTAAAAATGGGTTCCAAGTTATTGAACTAATTTAGTTCAGTAATTTATTCTTTAGGAAGTATAAGTGGCCATTTGTTTCCTTCTCCCTGTTAGAGTGGGAAGCACAGTAACGTCTGTAATAAATATAAAGTTAGGATTGTATGTTCAAGGGAAATGTTTATTGACATTTTGTAAGTTAAGCTTTTGCTTGCTTGTGAAAGTTCCTGATTCAAGTGAATCTAACTTGAGAATTGAGATTCAAAGTTGTTACTATAATAAATAACAGGGTTACTCAGATTCAATTACCACCAAAGCCCACTACACCTAAACAGGCTATATACACTGATAGAGCCAAGTTAACAATACCCACAAAGTCGAAACTCAATACACTTAGACGGTTAGATCTACTCAACATATTAAAACTCACTACACCCAATATGTTGAGTCATAACTCATCACACTAACAATGAAATAAATTCGAAAGTCTCACTCTTAATCTTATACGGAGTAAGCAAAACTGTCCAATTAGTAGAAACATTGCCTCTGCCAGACCCGTCCCTAGGGCAAAAGGGGTGACCACCCTTCCGTGGAGAAAAGTCCCATTTCCGTAGTTTTCCATCCTAACATAAAAGGCCGAATGGTTGATGTGGTTAAATGGCATTAAGGCCTAGTTAATTGTTTAACTTCTTAGAGGGAATCATTAGGGGTGTTAACGGCTCAAGCTCAATAAGATTAAACCAGGGTCAGTCCGAGCTCGAGCTCGAGTAATTATAAACCCAACTCAAAACCCAAGCTCAGCTCGGGCTCCAATAGCCTCAAAAAGGCTTGGCTCACGGACTCGTAGTCGATTACGCTCGAAAAAAATGCAACAAATAAGCAATAAAATTTGACTCAATTATCACATTAGGCTCGAAAAATCACATAAGATTCTTCTACTTTAAGAATATCAATGTAAATTGCACAAACCAAAATTCTTGCAACAAAATCGCTCATTATAATCTTTCATGAGTAGTATCAATAGTTCAATAATCTACCTTAGAAGGACCCTAATCAACTATTCTGAAAATTAAATTAGCGATAGTGTGAAAATAAACCCAGATTGTGAAATTGATATTCCATGATACAAAATAAATATATGAAAATTGGGAAATTTTTACCCTTTTTCAATGGAGGATAGAAAGCTCAGAATCCGCTTCAATGAAGAGCTCAGAGTATGCTTCAATGGAGGAAAGAAATCTCAGAAGTCGCTTTATTGGAGAACTCAGAGTACGCTTCAATGGAAGAAAGAGAAAGAGGGGTGCAGCGTAAAAGCGAGAAGCTACAGAATAAAATATAAAAAAAAAAAAAAAAAAATTGAAAATGTAGGAGGAAGATTATTTACACGTATGATGTCAACCGTTAGATCTGACTCATCCGAGTAATATCGACGGTTAAAAATCATTTTTGGTTAATTTTGTTTTCATCTCGGTCGATGACCGGATTGTTAATTATGAATTACTAATGTCTTACAAACTTATTATAATTTAAATGCCCATGTGATTACAAAACAATGTATGCGCGTGACGAGCATTTCTAAATGCAAAATCACCGATTTTAGTGTTTACATGTTTAAGAAAATTGAATGTAGTTGAAAATAAGGAATATAAGTTAATAAATCAGTTTCGATCTAGAAGGAATTGGAACTGGCAAGGTCGCCAACCTTTGACAAATACCTTTTAAAACCAAACAACTAAACCACATTGAGTGCATATAAGTAAGTGCAATTAATAATAGAAAAAAATTCATGTATCTCAACTAGAGATACATTGAATCATCTCAACATGGCACGGACGCACGGTGGTCTTTTTGTAGGTTAATGGTAGGGTTAATATTATAATTTTGTCTAAAATATATTTATTTTCAAGCAAAATTAGAAGTTTTCAATGGAGAACTGAAAAACGTTAATGGAGATATTTAGAAACTTTAATGGGTAAATTGAACATGGCGAAGGTCTTCAATGGAGAAGGACACAACCTTCCATTTAAAGGTTAATCATACCCTTCTTTTTCCCCTTTTCTATTAGGGTTTTAGTTTAATTAGGTTGCGAAGCCGCTGAAATATGGTAGTGAAAGTAGTAGTTCACAAGCTATTACGATGGAGATGGAGAAAAGCATGAAAAAGATGGAGGATGGAGAAGATGAGCAGAAAGAAGAAGAAAAAGGACAAAAAAAATATATATATATAAAAATATTAAAATATTCATACTTTTCTTCTTATTTACAATTATGTCATTTTGAGATTAAAAAAAATAATAAAAAAAATATAAAAAAAAAAATTGTATCTCTATTTGAGATACAGGGGCTCCCACTTAAAAATATATATACATTTTTGAATTTGAAGCCCCAAGGAAATTTGAGCCTGTGCAGCCGCATTGGGCCTGCACCGGGTAAGGGTCAACCTTGGAAATTGGATAGGGTTTTTGTATTATTATTTGGATGGAAAGCTGAAAAAACATGTAAAAATTATCTTGGAAAAAAAGAAAGGTTAAGTGGTGGTATAAATGTATAAGAACTTAGCCTAAATGGACTTTGTTTGGGGTAAAAATACCCTAAACACGTGGCCCAATGGCCTAGTGACACGTGGCATCCAGCCGTTGGTCAGCAGTGCTCCAATCCTCTGCTGACACGTGTCCTCTAAACCCTAAAAGGGAAACCATCCCTTCCCCACTATAAATAGTGGAAGGACCCTCATTAATGGGGGTTGGAACATTGGTTGTTCACATTGAATACTCCTCAAAAAGAAAAACACTTACCCCGAGCAATATTAATTGCAGAATTCTCCCATTACGCGAGAAGTAACTTCCACATTACGTGCATTCTACCTCCCGTATCTTTACTAACTTGATCGTCGGAGGCGGAGCTCCTACCCCCAGGAGTCTTCGTGTTTTTGCAGGCACAGGCGTCGAAGGGCATTCTTGGAATTGTAACTCTCCCGCAGGACACATCAAAAGACCCCGAAACATTTGGCGCCGTCTGTGGGGAGAGTACTTCTAAGATGACTTCTGATACTGTGTCACCAAATCAGGGCAAACGGCCTGTGGTCGAGCCTGAGGTCCAGACGGACCATGAAAGTGGCGACGAAATTGAAACATATGTGGCCCCGGATGGGTCTTTCAGAACGAAGCACCCTCGTGCTAAAGATAGAAGAGAACGGGAAATCAGCCAAGCTGCTCCCAACAACCCAGCCGGGCAACCGGCTGGAATTGCCCAAACGGTGGAGGGCTCAGCTCCCGTCACAAGAAACGAACTCATGTCTTTCATGAATAGTTTCAAGGGTGAGATCAAGAGCCTCATCCGGTCAGCTACTCCAAAGAAGGGTCAGCCGGCCAAGAAGCCTTCTGGAAGGAAGGCGGTCAAAGAACGAGTTCCTACCCCTCACCCAAAGCCAAAGGAGGGGGAGGGCCTAAGGTTTGACCCGAGCAGACTCCGTTTTCCTCAAGGGGAGCTGCGAAAGGCCATCCGGCACGTACAGCCGGATGGCTCCAAGAAAACATTCTCAGACGCCCGCACATTTCTCCAAGAGAAGCGAGGTCAGGCGTCTGCGTCGGCCTCAACGTCGACCTTCCCGGACAGTTTCCATGACGTCTCACACAGGCGTACGGGAACGAACCTTAGGAGCCAGACGGGCGAAGCTTCTGCCCGGTCTGGACCCAAAGTGATCCAGCCTGGCCTATTCGGCACACCGAATAGGTTGGGTGGATCCCCTTTCATGTCGCCGGGTCTTTTCGGTGGGCAAGCGCAGCAGCCGTTCCAACCCACGGATTGGAAGCTGCGCCTGCTAAATTTGGGGGAACAGCCAACGGCGTTCTCACCAGAGATAACCCAGGCGGCACAGCCGCCTAAGATCAAGAATGTTTTGGTGGGGGCCTATGATGGCACCACTAACCCAGAAGACCATCTAATGGCCTACTCTAACCTCATGTACCTCCAGGGGTTAGATGATGCCGTCTGGTGTCGATGCTTCCCGGCTACCCTCAAGGGCATAGCCCAGCGGTGGTTTGGTAACCTACCAGCCGGTTGCATCAACAGCTTTCGAACTTTGGCGTACTTGTTTACGTCAAATTTCTCAATGAATAATCCTGCCAAAAAGACTAGCCTCGACCTAGGGGCAATACAGCAGGGCGACCGGGAGGGCCTCCGGTCGTACGTCAGACGGTTCAATCTGATGAGAATTCAGATTCCAGGACTATCAGACGAAGTGGCCTATACAGACTTCTTTCGAGGTCTGAAGGATGGGTCGACCTTTAAGTTTGACCTCGTCCGGAAGAGGGTTGCTACCCTCCAAGAGGCGTTAATTGAAGCTGAAGCCTATATACAGGCGACGGAGCTTTGTGCTGTTAAGCAGCCGTCAGATTATAAAAAGTCTGACAAAAAAGAGAGCCGGCAACAGCATCAGCCGGCAAGAAAAGAAGAAAAGAGAAAAGGGGTCTGGGCAGCTGACCGATCAGGACAGCCGCCCCAGAAGATCAAGCGGAAGTCAGAACCGTATGTCCCCAAATACGAGTTCACAAAAGATTGCTCCCCCATCCTCCTGGAAATCAAAGACCGGATGTCTCTCGACAAACCGGCTGAAATGAAAAGCCCCGTGAATAAACGGGACAAGAGCAAGTATTGCCAATACCACGAGGATGTTGGCCACGACACCAATGGCTGCTATAGCCTCAGGCGGCTATTGGACCGTCTGGCAGATGAGGGGGCCCTAAAATCCTATCTACCCAAGGCTAAGGGTAATACCCAGGCCAAGAAAGGGCAGGCGGCAAAAACCGGCCCAGTAAACTCCGAGACGGATGAAGAGACCATCTTCACCATAGCAGGCGGTTTTGCCGGAGGGGGTCCCACCATCCGGGGCACCAAAGACAACATCAGGAAGCTGGTCAACTCAGTGGATGAGGGCCAGGCGTCGAAAGACATCTTCCCTGAGGTCCTTATTTCTGAAAAGGACCGGGGCAAGGTCAGGCGGCCTCATGATGACCCCATCGTCATCGAATGCAAGGTTGCCAACCAGAAGGTTGGCCGGATCCTAATAGACACCGGGAGCTCGTCTGACCTAATCAGTTATCAGTGCTTGACCAAGCTCAAGTACACATCCGGTAACATGCACCAGGCTCCTCACCCACTAGTCGGTTTTGGGGGTGGAGTAGTGCATCCGGTCGGAAGCATAGATCTTCCGATCCGGCTGGGTGAAAAGGGGCAAGGACGCCACATGATAGTCAAGTTTTTAGTTGTGGAGGAGCTGTCCGCCTACAACATGATATTTGGCCGTCCTACCCTCAACGCATCTAAGGCTGTCATCATCCCGTCCCTTATGTTGGTCAAATTTCAAAAGGATGATGGTACAGTCGGTGCCCTAAGCGGGGACCAGAAGACGGCAAGAGAGTGCTATCTCTCTGACGTCAAGACAACTATGGGTGCAGCCGGCCAGGGCGAGCCCATAGATATTGATAGCTGCGACCCAGCAGTCCCGGCTCCAAGGGCAGCCGGTATGAAAAGAAAGGCGGACCAACTGGCACCCGTCAAAAAGGAGAAATAGCAATCACTAGCCGGGGAAAGATCAGATGACCAACGACCTCAGCCGGCTGGTGACTGCCTTGATGTCATCCTAGATGACAGCCGTCCTGAAAGAACAGTCAAGGTCGGGACGATAGCCTTCGAACGGTTGGGAGAAGGTTTACTCCAGCTGCTGAAGGAATTCAAAGACATCTTTGCCTTTGAAGTGGAAGAGATGCCAGGCGTCAGCCCGGATCTTGCTGTCCACAAGCTAGCCGTAGATCCCAAAAAGCAGCCGGTAAGGCAGAAAAAGAGGGATCATGGTGGAGAAAGATCTCAAGCGGCAGCGGCTGAGGTCAAAAAGCTGTTGGATGCTGGGTTCATTAGGCAATGCTACTACCCGGATTGGGTGGCAAATGTCGTTCTAGTAAAGAAGCCGAACGGTACTTGGCGGATGTGTGTGGACTACACAGATCTGAACAAAGCATGCCCAAAAGATAGCTATCCGCTTCCAAAGATTGACAGCCTAGTCGACTCAACAGCCGGCCATGCGTTAATGAGCTTTATGGATGCTTATTCCGGCTTCCATCAAATACCTCTCTGGAAGAAAGATCAGGAGAAGACGGCTTTTGTCACTGATCAGGGGCTATTCTGCTATACGGTGATGCCGTTTGGGTTGAAGAATGCACCGGCTACATTCCAGCGCATGATAAACACCGTTTTTATCAACCAGATTGGCAGGAATGTAGAGGCGTATATCGATGACATGATAGTCAAATCCAAGCTACAGACGGATCACCTAGCAGACCTGAGAGAAACCTTCACCACACTCAGGCGGCACCGGGTCATGCTTAA